AAAACTTAGGTCCACACAAAAACCTGCATAGTTATGTTTATAGCAACTTTATTCAAAATTGCCAAAATTTGGAAGCAACCAAGATGTCCTTCAGTAGATGAATGGCTAGATAAACTCTAGTACATCCAGACAGTGGAGTATTTTTCAGCATTAAAAAGAAATGAGTTACCAAGTCACAAAAAGGCATGGAGAAATTTAAATGTATATTACTAAATGAAAATCTGAAAAGGCCATGTACTTCCAACCACATGACATTTCAGAAGAGGCAAAACTATGGAGACAGCAAAAAGATGAGTGGTTGCTAGGGGTTAGGGAGGAGGGCTGAATAGACAGGACGCAGAGGATTTTTAGGGTAGTCAAACCATTCTGCATGATACTACAATTGTGGATACATATCATTATATATTTGTCAAAACCCATAGACTGTACAACACTAAAAGTGAATTGTAATGTAAATTACGGACTTTGGGTGATAATGATGTGTCAATGTAGGTTCACCAATTGTAACAAAGGTACCACTGAGATTTGGAATGTGGTAGTGGGGGTGGTTGTACACGTTTTGGAACAGGGAGTATATGGGAACTCTCTTGTACTTGGCGCTCAGTTTTGCTGTGAACCTAAAACTGTTCCAAAAATTAGTCCATTTTTTTAAATCATGAAAAGTTCTGTCTTTAAAGCATTAGAAATTTAAAATTATACTGGTAATTTTTTTCCTTGAAAATTTGAAACGAGTTCACCAGTGAACTCTCCAAACCTGGTAGCTTCTGGGAGTTAAGCATTTTGATACTTCTTTGATTTCTTCCATAGTTATTAGCCTTTTAGTTTGTTTATACCTTTAGAGTCAACTTTTATAATACAAGCATAACATCTATTTCTAGCAGATATTCATATTTATTTTTATACACTTATACAGATTTATATATGAGTAATAACTCTTGTAACACCTTTTGTATTTCTGGTTATTCCCCCCCCCTTTTTTTTATTTTTGTGTTTGTGCTTCTTCTATTCTTTTTGATAATATTAGTAGGTGATTTATCTATTTTATTTTATTTTCTAACGCCAGATTTTGGATTGATATATTTATGCTACAGTTTTAAATTTCATTTATTTCTGTTCTTTTATATATTACTTTTTCATTAGTTTCATTATGTTCTCCTACTTATATGATCTGAACACAAATCAAAACAGTAGTGTAATATTTTTCCCTTCAGATTTTTACAAATGTAAAATATTGAGTATCAGTAAGATGTCAGGAAAAAGAAGCATTGCCAGATTTAGCAAATAAAAATGCAGGATGCTCAGTTTAATTTGAATTTGTGATAAACAGTGACTAATTTGTCAGTATATCCCAAGTATTGAAACTCGGAGTATATGGCAATCCTGAGCAAGAGGCATTGTCAAGCTTTGTTGGTGCAATTAAGTTAGTATAGTCTTTCTGAAGGGCAATTTGGCAAGATCTAAAGTATTTAAAATGTATTCAGAGAATCTTTTTCCTTATCTCTCATAAGGAAACTCTTGCTCATATGTACAAGTATAATACGTGTGACTGCTGATTGGAGCATTGTCTATAATAGAGAATTCCTGGAAATATCCTCATACTCAAGTATCAGGGAATTTTTTTTTTTTTTTTTTTTTTTTGCGATACGCGGGCGTCTCACTGCTGTGGCCTCTCCCGTTGCGGAGCACAGGCTCCGGACGCGCAGGCTCAGCGGCCATGGCTCACGGGCACAGCCGCTTCGCGGCATGTGGGATCTTCCCGGACCGGGGCACGAACCCGTGTCCCCTGCATCGGCAGGCGGACTCTCAACCACTGCGCCACCAGGGAAGCCCGGGAATTCTTTAAAAAGATATGATACTCCCAAATAAAGTATACCCACACTTATAGTTCAGCTCTGTGTGTGGAATATTACCAAGAGAGTAAATTAAGAAAGTGAACGTTAGAGCATTGCTCATGTTTCCCACTTATGGAAATAAACTACCTATGCAAGTGTATGTGTGTGTGTGTGTGTGTGTGTGTGTGTGTGTGTGTGTGTGTGTGTACAAATGCACAGAATTGAAGATGCTCACTAAATAGTTAGCAGAGATTACCCTTGGGGAAGAGATTGACTTGGTAAGGAGTACTGAGGGAAATCTGACTTTTGACTTTATACTCTTTTGCATCCTCTGGATTCTACCCAGCCATAAAATATTAATTAATTATAGTAACTAAAATTAGACAGCCTGCCCATACCAAGGGTTAGCAAGGATCTGGAGGATTTGGAACTCTCACACACTGCTGGTGAGAATGTAAAATGGTACAACTAATTTGGGGAATAGTTTGGCAGTTTCTTTAAAAATTAAACATACAGGGCTTCCCTGGTGGCGCAGTGGTTGAGAGTCCGCCTGCCGATGCAGGGGACACGGGTTCGTGCCCCGGTCCGGGAAGATCCCACATGCTGCGGAGCGGCTGGGCCCGTTAGCCATGGCCGCTGAGCCTGCGCGTCTGGAGCCTGTGCTCCGCAACGGGAGAGGCCACCACAGTGAGAGGCCCGCGTACCTCAAAAAATAAAAAAAATTAAACATACACTAACCAAATGATCCAGCCATTTTACTCATAGATATTCACCTGAGAGTAATTAAAACATACATCTAGAAAAAGAGTTTTACAGGTATGCTCCTAGGAGCTTTATTTGTAATACCCCCAAAGTGGAAACAACCCAAATATCCACCAACAGATGCATCTCAAAATAATTATGCTGAGTGTAAGACGACAGACAAAAAAGGAGTATATGCTATATGATTCCATTTATAGAAAGCTCTAGAAAATGAAAACTAATCTACAGTGACAGAATATATATTCACTACCTTGCTACTAGTGATTATATATACTATATAATATATATTTTGAATTATATTGAATATATTTTTCTATTATTCTATATTTACACAAGCCAGGTAATATCAAAATTATATACTTTAAATATGTGCAGGTAATTGTATGTCAAATATGTTGGGGAAAAACCCATTAAAAACAAAAATGCCTTTTGCTGTCCTTATGGAAGATGTTTGTGGTAAATTGCAAATGGGCACACATTCTTTGGATATGAAGTAGAGATGAGCCTTCCCAACTGAGGCTCCCTTCACCAACCAGCTTATCAGGTGTCATGTAAGTAATGCATTCCTAGGCCATCCCAAACCACCTGGCCCTAACTGAATTTTAAGGTTGAGTCCAGGTGAGACCAGCAGGAAAACCATTCAGGTGATAGCTAATCAATCACTGTTGTTTCAAGCCTCTAAGTTTTGGACAGGTTTGTTACACAGCAAAGGATAATTGATACAGTTTTCAATTTCATTCTTTTTCCTCTGTAATCACTTCCCTTACCAACTATATTCTTTCATTTAACCCTGGTGTTGGAAATTTTTTTCTATAAAGGGCCTTTTAATAAAATTTTAGGCTCTGTTGGCCATACAATCTCTACCATACAACTCTCTTCTTGCAGGAAAGCAACCATAGAAAATACATAAACAAATGTGCACAGCTTTGTTCCAGTAACACTTTATTTACAAAATCAAGCAGTGGACTGAATTTGGCTCAGAGGCTGTCGTTTGCTGAACCCTGGTTTAACTTAAAAAGTTGGACTTCAATATTTCAAAATTAATAATTTGTATCCTGGGCTAACTTTTGTCCTCCAATTTCCACATGATAGCCACAGTAATAATTTTCACAGTTATTGCTTTGATGGAAGAAATTTTTACATGTTAAGGTATGGGGAAGTCATTCTGGCTTATACACGATATGGCTTGAACTTTATGTTAACGAGAACAGCCTGTCTCATGGCCTGTCAAACATGCATTTTGTACATCTCCTTTAACCATTAAAGAAAAGAATACATTTACCAGATTGCTTAGAAGGTCCACTTTGAAGATAGGGATAAATGCCCACCCCCCTCCATGATGTCAATGCTAGTACTCCTTTGAAGATAAGGCTCCCTTCCCAGACACCAAGGTCATGCTGACTCATTATGTATGTGCTAATCTGTCTCTTTGGAAAACTTGAAGGAGTGTAACCCTGTCCTTTTGATATTTGTTCTGATAAGATATGAAGCTGGGCTGAAAACCATGCTTCTCTGGAGAAATTTCTTCCTTGGTGGAGGCAGCATTCCTGGGCTACAGTCCTCAGTTTGGTGCAATCAAAACTCTCTTCTATTCTTATTATAGATTATGTATTGATTATTTGCATGAACAGCTTCAGGTACTAAAACAGTGTTCTCTTTACAGTGTTTGTTTTTTATCTAAACTACACTATTGAAAATTGTACACTTCAAACATTCATTATGAAAATTTCAAACATATGAAAATATTTGAGAATACTATAATAAGCCTGCCCATGTACCTATTTCTCAGTTTTAGCAATTATAAATACTTCCAATCTTGTTTTATCTATTTCTCCACCAACATTTTTCCTGGAAGAGTTTAAAGCAAATCCCAGATAACATTTTTAATGATAAATTCTCCCATGTATCTATCTAATATGTAAAAACTTAAAAATACCTAGCTAAGCAGCCTAATACACCTAATAATAAGATTGTTTTTAATGTTGTATAATAAAAAGTCAATGTTCAAATTTCTCCGATTGTGATAACTGCTTTCTCACAGAGAAAAATACTGATCCAAGCAAGGTCCATCTATTGCATTCAGTTCACATGGTCCTAAGTATTTTGGGTTTGTTTCTTCCATAACAGTTCTTCTCCTTCCATTTTACTCCATATCCTTGGTTTAGCAAAAGTTTAAATATTCTGAAACAAATTCCAGACATCATTAGACGGTTAATACTTCAGCATGTGTCTCTGAAAATTAGAATTATTTTTCCTCCTTGGCCGCTTCCCTGGTTACCTAACAAAACTAACAATAATGCCCCAACAAAATCTAATTTTCAGTTTAGGTTAAAATATACATAATGTTTCTCAAAATGTCTTTTGCAGGTGACTTGTGCAAACCAGAACCCAGTTAAAGCCCACACATGGTATTTCAGGTATGAATTGTCTCTTCTTTTTGATTTAGCACTGTTCTGACCTCACCATTTAACAAATTTCTTCGTGAAACGGACTTGCTGCAAACTAAGACAGTTTCTGTGTGACCTAATCCTGAATTCTAAGTGAACCCCAGATATCGGGACCCTAATATGAGGCATACGAAAGAAAAACATATTCATACCTCTCTGCCTCAAAGGCCTACCTCCCGTCAAGGTCCTAGCTCCCCACTTTCGCTTCCGGGGAGCCTGCAGTCCACCCGCCCTCCATCAACCCACCAACCAGCTTGAAGCACAGCAGCCCACGTGATGCGCTTGCGCATGCGCCTCGCGTACTTGGAACTAGCTGCCGGAAAGGGGTTTCGAAACCGGCCTTTCCTGCAGCTGGGGGGCTCAGAGGCAGCTTATTATTTATTTTATTTTATTTTATTTATTTTTATTTTTGGCTGCATTGGGTCTTCGTTGCTGTGCGTGGGCTTTCTCTAGTTGTGGCGAGCAGGGGCTACTCTTCGTTGCGGTGCGCGGGCCTCTCATTGTGGTGGCTTCTCTTGTTGTGGAGCACAGGCTCTAGGCACGCGGGCTTCAATAGTTGTGGCACGTGGGCTCAGTAGTTGTGGCTCGCGGGCTCTAGAGCGCAGGCTCAGCAGTTGTGGGGCATGGGCTTAGTTGCTCTGCGACATGTGGGATCTTCCCCGACCAGGGATCAAACCCGTGTCCCCTGCATTGGCAGGTGGATTCTTAACCACTGCACTACCAGGGAAGCCCTCAGAGGCATTTTAAACTCATGTGGGTGCTGGAGGCTCTTCCTCTGACTGGAGTACTGGAAGTTAGTGCCACTGGCCTTGTGGCCCCTCTCGACTCTCGTTTTTCCATCAGCTGAGGTCTGGGAAGTGCCAGCGTCTTCTGCAATCCTCGGCTTCATTTTGCGGCCTTGGACAGGCCCCTCTTCAGCTGGTACAGAAGGCCTTTCTCCCAGCACCTCTCATTTCTTTTCAGTTCCTCAGATCTGCGTTTTGGAGGCTATGCTCATCTCTGGGAAAGCTCTCAGGGAAACGTGAAAATGGCTGATAGGCTCAGGAGAATTAGAAGAAAGGTGGGTATTTACTGAAATTTCACCCTCACTGTCCTTTGGTACATCCATTTCCTTCTCCTGCCCTGGACACTGCCTTGTGGTCAGTCTGAACTGCTCTGATCTTGGAGCCTGCTGGGGCAGCTCTCTCTGCTCCATCCGTGTGGCATTTCACAAAGTGGTTTCCTTTGAACAGCACAGATGGAGCATTTAAAGAAAAAATAGGTAGGTAACTAATAAGGACCTACTACATAGCACAGGGAACTCTACTCAGTACTCTATAATGGTTTATATGGGAAAAGAATCTAAAAAAGGAGTGGATATACGTATATGTATAACTGATTCACTTTACTGTATACCTGAAACTAACATAATATTATAAATCAACTATACTCCAATAAAATTTCTTTTAAAGTATAATAAATCTAAGTTAAATGATAAACAAACACACAAACAAAAAAATAGGGATGTCAGTGCTTAAATGCCAGTGGCGGTTGATGTAGGAGGAGGGCAGAGGTATCAGAGACTCCCTTGGGCTGGAGAAGTGTGGGAGGACTTGCAGGGGGAACGGGCAGACTGCCTTCCAGGATTTGGTAGACTAGAGAAGACATGCCAGGGGGAAAGAGGAAGGCAGGAAATACACTGCCCTTGCCAAAGTTTTGGAGAGTGTCATGGCCTGTGGGCTTATTTAAGGTTGATTTTTTTTTTTTTTAAGCAGACCAGCTGAAGATACAATAGCTGTACACATGTCCACCAGGGAGGGACTTGGTTTGATGAAAACAGTTATTAAGTTAGAATGAGTTTTCAGCATTAATAATAGGGAATTTTCACCTAAAAATCTGGATAATCTGTTTCTCTGTCAACAGGTCATTCTTACCGTGCTTGGTCCACATTCTGGGTTGGCGAAGTTTCCAATTAGACGTGGCCTGCCAAGTCCACAAGTGGTAGCAAGTTCCACTTCCTACCTTTCCCTTTGCTCCGCTGGACACTGAGGTGGAAACCACTGACCAAATCCCTCCCTCCTTGCCTCACTCCTTGACTTTCCCCTGCCTGGCCTGGGAAGTTCTTTTTGGATTCACCACCTCTTAGCTTAGGTGGGCACAGGTCAGCCAGAGTCTGAATGCCAGGCTGGAGTGGGGACTGTACCTTAGAGTAAGCTGTGTTTTGAAGGTTTGTGATAAAGGCTTTGATATGCTTAAATCCATGATTTGGGTAAAGATACTAAAGGGGCCAAAGGACAAACTGTCTTACCCTTGGAATTGGTTTGATGAAATTAACTTACCTGGATGCATTTAACATTTACTGAACAAGTACGTAGATAGCATGCTAAGCACTTTTGTACTGATTATCTCCAGAAAAGATGCACTGTGGTTTTGATGTAGAGTGGTTTACTACTCATATCTCCCTTGATTATACTATGTTCAGATATTTTGCAGAGAAAGCGCTCTTCACTTGATTCTAATTTCCTTTCTGTGGTGGAGATTTACATGTTTTTAGACAGGTTAAAACGAATCAGTTTAGATGTCAGCCAACACTTATAGCTCAGAGTTCCTCATTTGTATGATATTTCATTCTTCTTTTTTAATTGAAGTATAGTTGATGTACAATATTGTGTTAGTTTCAGGTGTACAGCAAAGTGATTCAGTTTTTTATATATCTGTATATCTCTCTATATACATTTTTCATATTATTTTTTATTATAGGTTATTATAAGATATTGAATATAAGTCCCTGTGATTGTTTCTTATCTATTTTATGTATAGTAGTTTGTATCTGTTAATCCCATGATCCTAATTTATGCCTCCCCGCTCCCTCTCCCCTTTGGTAACCATACATTTGTTTTCTTTTTTTTAACATCTTTATTGGAGTATAATTGCTTTAAAATGTTGTGTTAGTTCCTGCTGTATAACAAAGTGAATCAGCTATATGTATACATATATCCCCATATCCCCTCCCTTTTGTGCCTCCCTCCCTCCCTCCCTATCCCACCCCTCTAGGTGGTCACAAAGCACCAAGCTGACCTCCCTGTGCTATGCAGCTGCTTCCCGCTAGCTATCTATTTTACATTTGGTAGTGTATATATGTCCATGCCACTCTCTCACTTCTTCCAGCTTATCCTTCCCCCTCCCCGGGTCCTCAAGTCCATTCTCCACATCTACGTCTGCGTCTTTATTCCTGTCCTGCCCCTAGCTTCTTCAGAAGCTTTTTTTTTTTTTAGATTCCATATATATGTGTTACCATACAGTATTTGTTTTTCTCTTTTTGACTTACTTCACTCTGTATGACAGACTCTAGGTCCATCCACCTCACTACAAATAACTCAGTTTCATTTTTTTATGGCTGAGTAATATTCCATTGTATATATGTGCCACATCTCCTTTATCCATTCATCTGTCGATGGACACTTAGGTTGCTTCCGTGTTCTGACTATTGTAAATAGAGCTGCAATGAACATTGTGGCACATGACTCTTTTTGAACTATGGTTTTCTCAGGGTATATGCCCAGTAGTGGGATTGCTGGGTCATATGGTAGTTCTATTTTTAGTTTTTTAAGAAACCTCCGTACTGTTCTCCATAGTGGCTGTACCAACTTACATTCCCACCAACAGTGCAAGAGGGTTCCCTTTTCTCCACACTCTCTCCAGCATTTATTGTTTGTAGATTTTCTGATGATGGCCATTCTGACTGGTGTGAGATGACACCTCACTGTGGTTTTGATTTGCATTTCTCTAATGATTGGTGATGTTGAGCATCCTTTCATGTGTTTGTTGTCAATCTGTATATCTTCTTTGGAGAAATGTCTATTTAGATATTCTGCCCATTTTTGGATTGGGTTATTTGGTTTTTTTTTTGGTATTGAACTGCATGAGCTGCTTGTATATTTTGGAGATTAATCCTTTTAGCCATGGCAATCAGAGAAGAAAAAGAAATAAAAGGAATCCAAATCGGAAAAGAAGAAGTAAAACTGTCACTGTTTGCAGACAACATGATACTATACATAGAGAATCCCAAAGATGCTACCAGAAAACTACTAGAGCTAATCAATGAGTTTGGTAAAGTAGCAGGATACAAAATTAATGCACAGAAATCTCTTGCATTCCTATACACTAACGATGAAAAATCTGGAAGAGTTATTAAGGAAACACTCCCCTTTTTTTGAATTTTATTTTATTTATTTTTTTATACAGCAGGTTCTTATTAGTCATCCATTTTATACACATCATTGTATACATGTCAATCCCAATCTCGCAATTCATCACACCACCACCACCACAACCACCCCGCCACTTTCCCCCCTTGGTGTCCATACATTTGTTCTCTACATCTGTGTCTCAATTTCTGCCCTGCAAACCGGTTCATCTATAGCACTTTTCTAGGTTCCAAATATATGCGTTAATATGCGATATTTGTTTTTCTCTTTCTGACTTACTTCATTCTGTATGACAGTCTCTAGATTCATCCACATCTCTACAAATGACCCAATTTTGTTCCTTTTTATGGCTGAGTAATATTCCATTGTATATATGTACCACATCTTCTTTATCCATTTGTCTGTCGATGGGCATTTAGGTTGTTTCCATGACCTGGCTATTGTAAATAGTGCTGCAATGAACATTGGGGTGCATGTATGTTTTCAAGTTAGAGTTTTCATCTTTTCCAGATATTTACCCAGGAGTGGGATTGCTGGATCATATGATAGCTCCACTTTTAGTTTTTTTAAGGAACCTCCATACTGTTTTCCATAGTGGCTGCACCAATTTACTTTCCCACCAACAGTGTAGGAGGGTTCCCTTTTCTCCACACCCTCTCCAGCATTTATTATTTGTAGACTTTTGAATGATGGCCATTCTGACCCATGTGAGGTGATACCTCATTGTAATTTTGATTTACATTTCTCTAATGATTAGCGATGTTGAAAATCTTTTCATGTGCCTGTTGCCATCTGTATGTCTTCTTTGGAGAAATGTCTGTTTATGTCTTTTGCCCATTTTTTTATTCGGTGGTTTGTTTTTTGATAATGAGCTGTGTGAGCTGTTTGTATATTTTGGATATTAAGCCCTTGTCTGTCACATCATTTGCAGATATTTTTTCCCATGTTGTAGGCTGTCTTTTCATTTTGTTGATGGTTTTCTTTGCTGTGCAAAAGCTTTTAAGTTTGATGAGGTTCCATTTGTGTAGTTTTGCTTTTTTTTCTTTTTAAACATCTTTATTGGAGTATAATTGCTTTACAATGGTGTGTTAGTTTCTGCTTTATAACAAAGTGAGTCAGTTATACATATACATATGTCCCCATATTTCTTCCCTCCTGCATCTCCCTCCCTCCCACCCTCCCTCTCCCACCCCTCTAGGTGGTTACAAAGCACAGAGCTGATCTCCCTGTGCTATGCGACTGCTTCCTACTAGCTATCTATTTTAAGTTTGGTAGTGTATATACGTCCATGACACTCTCTCACTTTGTCCCAGCTTACCCTTCCACCTCCCCGTATCCTCAAGTCCATTCTCTAGTAGATCTGTGTCTTTGTTCCCGTCTACAGCCATACCACCCTGAATGTGCTGGATCTCGTCTGTATTTTTGCTTTTATTTCTTTTGCCTTGGAAGACTGATCTAAGAAAATATTGCTATGATTTATGATGTCACAGAATGTTTTGCCTGTGTTCTCTTCTAGGGGTTTTATGGTATCATGTCTTATATTTAGGTCTTTAAATGATTTTGAGTGTATGTTTGTATATGGTGTTAGAGTGTTTTAATTTCATTGATTTAGATGTAGCTCTCCACCTTTCCCAACACCACTTCTTGAAGAGACTGTCTTTTCTCCATTGTATATTCTTGCCTCCTTTGTCACAGATTAACTGATAAGGTGTGTGGGTTTATTTCTGGGCTGTCTATTCTTTTCCATTGATCTACATATCTGTTTTTGTGCCAGTACTACAGTTTTGATTACTGTAGCTTAGTAATATAGTCTGAAGTATGGAAGGGTTATGCCTCCAGCTTTGTTCTTTTTCCTCAGGATTGCTTTGGGAATTCTGGGTCTTTTGTGGTTCCATGTAAACTTTAGGAGTATTTGTTCTAGTTCTGTGAAAAATGTCATGGGTATTTTGATAGGGATCACATTAAATCTGTAGATTGTTTTGGGTAGTATGGTCATTTAAAAAATATTAATTCTTCCAATCCAAGAGCATGGGATATCATTCTTTGAATCATATTCCATTTTCCTTATCAGTGTTTTATAGTTTTCAGCATATAGGTCTTTAACCTATATGAAATCCCCATGAATTAAGACAAGAGTTGAGTCAGAGTAAATGACAGTGAGCCAGGAACTATTTTCTTTGAGGAATGATGGGATTTGACCCTGCAATTTATAGAAGACTGCATGCAGGTCTGTACTATAGCCCACCCTCATCTCTCATGTGTAAGGATTTTAAAGCATTCAGTGTGTATCATATACATTTTTGTTTTTGATTGAATCTTCAGTTTTGTTTGTTGTTTGCTATTTTTTCTTATGCGTAAAAACTCTATGTTCTTTAAAATATAGTAAAATCTGAAGTAGCTAAGGTAGAGTTTAAAAAACTAGGATTATTGCAGACACTCAAAATTACCTTTCTTGGAGCTACACCAGAAACACTACTATAGACAATCCTTAAATTAAGACTTTTTATTAATGCCCTTAATAAAAAGTTTTCTCTGTGATAAAAGTGGCATACACAATCATACTCATAAAGGGTTTCTCATTTTAGAGGTTGGTGAATTTCGGGATGTTTCCATTGACTTCTCTCAGGAGGAGTGGGAATTCCTGGACCCTGCTCAGAGGGACTTGTACAAAGGTGTGATGTTGGAGAACTAAAGCAACCTGGTTTCACTGGGTAAGTATATCATTCTTTCTAAACTCAAAATAAGAGTTCCATATTCCTTTGTTTGCTACGTTATGACTCGGGGGGAAATTATGATTTGTATGCCAGTATGTTTCCTATACTCTGAAGCTTTAGGTGCTTTGTGGAATTAGAAATGGGCAGGTTCATGTTGCCTGTTTCATAATGTTCAGAATGCTGGGACCTTGATCTTACCTATTCTTCAGATGATTTTCTTATCCTTATTTGGCCATTAGTTTTAAATTTTTGATTTATATTAAGTCTCCTTAAGCATGGTAAAAATTCTGATTTTGAACATCCATCCCATGGTGATTCATTTTGAGAACGTTGGACATGGGTCCCTGGAATCTGCATTCTGATAGAGTTGGCTGGGGATAGTATTGTGTGAAAAAGAATTCTAGGGTAGCTATAACTCTCCTTATTCTGGGTTATCAAAGCATTGCTTCCCAATTCTGGGAAGTTCATGGCATTGATAAGTTCTTTTTCTTCTCTCAAGCAGGAACCAGAAGGCCTAAACCATCTGTAATCTCCTTACTTGAGAATGGGAAAGAGCCATGGCTGGAAGAGAGAATGGTGACAGGAACCACAAGCTTAGGTAAGTGAAAAGGAGTGAGGCAGGAGTAACACATCAGCTGATCAGAGAGGAGACCTGAGGTGAAGTGTCAGCTTATATTTTTTGACCATCTAAAGGAATCTTACTGTTAACATCTTTGGAGAAATTCTTCTCTTAGGTGGTTCTTATCTCCAAATTACAGTCTTCATATTCCTTTTATGGTAATCTCTTTGCTATGTAAAGCAATATTCTTTATTTTTGGTGTCTCACAAAGGCATTACTGTGTACTATTCCAGTAGCTAAATTTAAAAAGTTTTTAAAAAAATGCTCCACAGAAAACTATGTAGTAGAAGAGGTGAATTTTTTAAAAATTAATTAATTTATTTTTGGCTGCGTTGGGTCTTTGTTGCTGCGCATGGGTTTTCTCTAGTTGCAGTGAGCGGGGGCTACTCTTTGCTGCAGTGCGTGGGCTTCGCACTGTGGTGGTTTCTCTTGTTGAAGAGCATGGGCTCTAGGCACGGGCTTCAGTAGCTGTGGTGCTCGGGCTTATTTGCTCCACAGCATGTGGGATCCTCCTGGACCAGGGCCCAAACCCGTGTCCCCTGCATTGGCAGGCAGATTCCTAACCACTGCGCCACCAGGGAAGTCCCAAAAAGGTGAATTTTTATACTTCAGCATTATTTACTTTACCTATTTCACCCATATGTTTCAATTAGGAATTTCAGTGTCAAAATTTCAGCAAACAAAAATTAGTTTAAATAATGCATAATTTTTTGACTCCTCAACCTGTTAGATGACAGAAACTGAATTTCTGTCACATCTGGAAAAACCTAAGAAATTCAGTATTTCTTTAGCCAATTCAGGGTCTTTTCACCACTCCCTTCCCCACACAGTTAGGCTCTGAATTTACCTAGATTGAGCTCATAAAATGTAATAACATGCATTTAATTTATCGGGCTATTATTTTAATGTAATCCATTCACATTGCTCTCTGATGACATCTGTAGGAGCCGTCTGATCCTTATTTATCAGTCTTCAATCATCACAGCTATAGCCCTTGTTCCTAAATCTAGGACTTTTATCAGTTCTGTTTCTACTGTACTTCTCAAACATTATCAGAAGCATGAGAAAAACTGGCTTCTGGCCTAATGCATGTAGGATCTCTGCAGACCTATAATGTCAGGCCTTCCCTGCCTAGACATGTCCATAGCTATGTCTTCTCTACTGAATTGTTCACTTTATGAGTTGGGGAGATTCTAGGCACATCATTATCCATTCCTGGGGAAGAAAACATCTCTTATTTAAACCCCAAACACTATGTGGCTGTTTTATTATTGACTTAAAGTACTTACCTTGATGGTTATAGTCGTGTAGGTTTAACCTGCATGCTTCATTCAGATTTCTGTTCACTCATCAAGTACATAGCTTCATTCAGTCAAGGGTGAGCGGGAAAGACTGACTCTGCCAGATACCCGTTCTCTTAATGCCTTGGGATGCAGCAGGGAGAAATTACATTTGTAAATCTAAAGTTGAGCCTTTTGGATTGTGTTCCCCTGGTTCTCTTATAAGAATACGCTCTTGATGTGCTCTAAGACCCCTGGCATTTTGTCCGAGAGGCAAAGGCTCATTAAGTCTGAGAAAATGGTAGTGATAAAATCATACTGCTTAATATATTGTGGTATTACCCTGGCACACATAGATGGGATCCTTAGAGTTGATGTAGCATAGGATCACAAGAGAAAAATGGTGAAGATGATATGACTGTCTCAGTTTAGAAGATGGAGCAAACAAACAAAAAAAAAATAGGAGAAAGAGCATGATAGGTTCCTGAAATCACATTTCTGCTCTCTGGAATAAGGAAGTGATCAGCAATGTCACAGGTTGCTGACATAAGGAATGGGATGAAAACATGTTTATGTGACTGTGATGAAAACTTGTGGCTGTTGGTGAGTTTAAATTTTTCATTGTTTTGGGAACAATGCATATATGTGTGACTTTTATACACACATGCACACTTTTTTTTTTTCCTGTGGTACGCAGGCCTCTCACTGTTTTGGCCTCTCCCGTTGCGGAGCACAGGCTCCAGACACGCAGACTCAGCAGCCATGGCTTACGGACCTAGCTGCTCCGCGGCATGCGGGATCTTCCCGGACCAGGGCACGAACCTGTGTCCCCTGCATCAGCAGGCGGACTCTCAACCACTGCGCCACCAGGGAAGCCCAACATTCACACTTTTAATAGGCATTCCCTTTAAGCTGGCAATCTCATGTCTAAAAAGTTCTCTTAGACAAATCATCATCATGCATAAATATATGACACAGTGTTTTTGTCCAAAGTGTTTTTATAGAATCAGTCAATCAAAGTAAATTCCAATAGTGCAATGCTATATCCTTTAAATACAGTGATGCTGATCTATAATCAGTTTCCATTGGAATGTGTCCATAATGTACTGTTGAGTATATGACCACTTATAGACTGTCCATATCTGTCCATTCTGTCCACACACGATATAAGTTTGCCAGTGCACATATACATACCCATATTGCTTAAATTCAATTCACTTTTGGTCAACATCACTTATTGCTTTGTTGGGATTTTATGTGGGTTTTTTTTTTAACATCTTTATTGGGGTATAATTGCTTTACAATGGTGTGTTAGTTTCTGCTTTATAACAAAGTGAATCAGTTATACATATACATATGTTCCCATATCTCTTCCCTCTTGCATCTCCCTCCCTCCCAACCTCCCTATCCCACCCCTCCAGGCGGTCACAAAGTACCGAGCTGATCTCCCTGTGCTATGCGGCTGCTTCCCACCAGCTATCTACCTTACGTTTGGTAGTGTATATATGTCCGTGCCTCTCTCTCGCTTTGTCACAGCTCACCCTTCCCCCTCCCCATATCCTCAAGTCTGTTCTCTAGTAGGTCTGTGTCTTTATTCCTGTCTTACCACTAGGTTCTTCATGAAATTTTTTTTTCTTAAATTCCATATATATGTGTTAGCATACGGTATTTGTCTTTCTCTTTCTGACTTACTTCACTCTGTATGACAGACTCTAGGTCTATCCACCTCATTACAAATAGCTCAATTTCGTTTCTTTTTATGGCTGAGTAATATTCCATTGTATATATGTACCACATCATCTTTATCCATTCATCCGATGATGGACACTTAGGTTGTTTCCATCTCCGGGCTATTGTAAATAGAGCTGCAATGAATATTTTGGTACATGACTCTTTTTGAATTATGGTTTTCTCAGGGTATATGCCCAGTAGTGGGATTGCTGGGTCATATGGTAGTTCTATTTTTAGTTTTTTAAGGAACCTCCATACTGTTCTCCATAGTGGTTGCACCAATTCACATTCCCACCAACAGTGCAAGAGGGTTCCCTTTTCTCCACACCCTCTCTAACATTTATTGTTTCTAGATTTTTTGATTCTGACTGGTGTGAGATGATATTTCATTGTAGTTTTGATTTGCATTTCTCTAATGATGTTGAGCATTCTTTCATGTGTTTGTTGGCAGTCTGTGTATCTTCTTTGGAGAAATGTCTATTTAGGTCTTCTGCCCATTTTTGGATTGGGTTGTTTGTTTTTTTGTTATTGAGCTGCATGAGCTGCTTGTAAATTTTGGAAATTAATCCTTTGTCAGTTGCTTCATTGGCAAATATTTTCTCCCATTCTGAGGGTTGTCTTTTGGTCTTGTTTATGGTTTCCTTTGCTGTGCAAAAGCTTTGAAGTTTCATTAGGTCCCATTTGTTTATTTTTGCTTTTATTTCCATTTCTCTAGGAGGTGGGTCAAAAAGGATCTTGCTGTGATTTATGTCATAGAGTGTTCTGCCTATGTTTTCCTCTAAGAGTTTGATAGTTTCTGGCCTTACATTTAGGCCTTTAATCCATTTTGAGCTTATTTTTGTGTATGGTGTTAGGGAGTGATCTAATCTCCTACTTTTACATGTACCTGTCCAGTTTTCCCAGCACCACTTATTGAAGAGGCTGTCCTTTCTCCACTGTACATTCCTGCCTCCTTTATCAAAGATAAGGTGATCATATGTGCGTGGGTTTATCTCTGGGCTTTCTATCCTGTTCTATTGATCTATCTTTCTGTTTCTGTGCCAGTACCATACTGTCTTGATTGCTGTAGCTTTGTAGTATAGTCTGAAGTAAGGGAGCTTTGTAGTATAGTCTGAAGTAAGGGAGCTGATTCCTCCAGCTCCGTTTTTCGTTCTCAAGATTGCTTTGGCTATTCGGGGTCTTTTGTTTTTCCATACAAATTGTGAAATTTTTTGTTCTAGTTCTGTGAAAAATGCCAGTGGTAGTTTGATAGGGATTGCATTGAATCTGTAGATTGCTTTGGGTAGTAGAGCCATTTTCACAATGTTGATTCTTCCAATCCAAGAACATGGTATATCTCTCCATCTATTTGTATCATCTTTAATTTCTTTCATCAGTGTCTTATAATTTTCTTCATACAGGTCTTTTGTCTCCTTAGGTAGGTTTATTCCTAGATATTTTATTCTTTTTGTTGCAATGGTAAATGTAGGATAAAATTTAAATGTTTTAGTGTGTATCGTTTTACATGATTTCCCACTAAAACCAAGCTTCTGTAATTAATCAACTGATTGCACTTGATAAAAGGTATCCACTATGAAAATAAATGATATAAAATGCATTTGATATAACTGTTCAGCTGATAAGCCAGATGAACTTCTTGCTAAGTGGAGAAACAAATACCTTCATTGTAAAAGCCAGTTCCTGTTGGTCATTATATAACTTCCATCTTAATTGAAATTCCTAAATTATTATTCTTGTACCAACCTTTCCACTGAGCTATACACACATATATCTAAATGCCTACTTGATATCACCTCTTTGATACCCAACAAGCATCTCAAAGTTAACATGACCCCCACCCCCATCCTAGACACCTGCTACATACTTGTTGTTTTCTGTCTTGGCAAATGACACTACCATTCATCCAGATGTTCAGGACAAAAATTTAGGCATTATATCTAACTTATTCTTTTCTTCATATGCACATCCAAGCATCAGCCATTCCTGTTAGTTCTACACTTAAATTGCATCCCAATTTGACCATTTTTCATTGACTTTACCATTTACTACCCTAATTC